TTGGTCCAAGGGGTTTAGTCTGGTCAATAAGGTGTGCTTAGTGGCTGTGGGGACCTTAATTTGGTGACTTTAGGATGAGTAGGTCAATTTTGGTGCATGGGTCCAATTTAGGTTAAAATGGCTAAGAGTAGGGTTTGGGTTAGGGCAGCCATGACTTTGAGCCAAATTGATTGATCAACAATGTGTAGATGATTGTAATGAAGATTTTTGGTGAAGGATTGGAATGATTTTGAGTCCAATTAGAAGCTCAATTTGAAGGATTTTGGTAAATTTCGGCATGTTGGGCTAGACTTGGATCTAAGTTGGGCTAAGCTTGGGTGAGGTTCAAATTGATTTTTGAAAATGGTCTATAGGAATGTAATGAAGAGTTTTCAACATAAATTGGGTGCCAATATTTGGGTTAAGGCATTCAATTTGGTGGAATTTGGGGCAAATTTGGGGATATTTGGACTTGAGTTAAAATTAAGTGAAATTGAGGCTTCACCAAGGCCATTTAAAGGTCAATTTTGGTGTGTAGGAGTGTTATAAAAGATTTAGGCTCCAAATTGGGGCAAATTAAGAAAGCTATGGGGTTCAATTTGGTGGGATTAAGTTATAGGACCAAAATTGGGGGTTTGACTTAGATCAAAATTGAGCTCAAAGCATGGGCCAATTAGGCTTGGATTTGATTTATATTGCTCATATGAAGGGTGAATTTGAGTTTAGGATTAAAATTGATGGAAATTAAGACCAAATTGATGGATATTTAAGGTGAATTTAAGGGAATTGGGCCTTTAAAGGCAATTTGGGGGTTATAGTCAAAATGGGAAAATTAGCCAAATTGAGTTCAATTGGAGGGTCCAAATAGGTTTTGGAGACATTTGAAGTGATTTTGGAGGCTTTGAGAAAGTTTGGGGTGTCAAGGGTATTTTTGTAATTTTGGCAATTTTGGGGTTATTTTGATAATTTTGGAACTTTTGGGTGGATTTAGGTAATTTGGGTATTTTGAAATGGTGTGAAATGATTTTTGAAAAAAATTGGGTATTTTAGGTGAAATTAGGATTTTTGACCAACTTTAGGATTTGTGGTGTTTAGGTAATTTGGGTGGATTAAAGGGCAAAAGATCAAGTTAGGTATTTTTGGTAGAATTGGGAAGCCAACCACCCCGTTTGAACTATGGACCAATGGAATCCCCATTTGGGTCCTTTATGTACTGGTCTTAGCTAAACCTTAGCATAGGGCTAGTGGGTTTAGGGGACCATCTACATGAGTCTCCCAAAAGATCAAGGGATTAAAGTCAACAATTTTGGGTTTAGCTTGGGAGTGGTTGTGAGTGAGGTATTTGCTGGTGAGTGCCTTAGCTCTATACCAACACCCAGGGCAAACCCTAAGGTCCAACAGTGCTGTGGGAAATCTTATTGAGCTCCCTCATAGTGATCACACCTACTAAGTGCTAGAGGTTATGACCAATATGTAGAGCTTCAATTTGAGTAAAGAAAAGTTTAGAGTTTCTAATAAGAGGGTTCCTTGTCTATTTTTCTAAGAATAATCAACATGAAAGTTCTATGGCTAGACCTTAGGCAACTAAATAGGGAAAAATAAACCTAAAAAAAAATGAGGCCAATAGTGCTGAACAAATATTGTGCCTATTTTTGCTCAAACAATCCATATAGGTGTAAAGATGGAAGCTTCAGTAGTTCCCTACTGAGCCTTAGAGTGCTATGATTAGATATTTTAATTTGTCCCTTTTAAAGCAACTTATGCATCACCACATATAGTGCATCACAGTTCCATTCCTTCGAGTCCAAACACTCCCATCATTGGCTCTTGCATCCTCAGGGCGTCGCTCGAATGAATAACTGGCAAATCAAGTATGGAATTCTAGCTCAGGTGGGGCATTAACCACATCATAGGTTGCAGACCTGTGATGTGGTTGATGCTCCACTCGAGCTAGAATTTCATACTGGATTTGTCGTTTATTCATCGAGATGCTTCCTTGGAGAACTTAACAAGGGCTCTAACTCAATAGAGTGAGTGGGAAACTGACCAAAGTAAAATAAGTTGAGATTTCATACCTCTTTTATACTGTTTTTAATGATATTGCACTTTAAAGAAAGGTATTTTTGATGTTTTGTTGCAGGAATGATGAATTAAGGTCAATAGAGCAAAAAGATGCAAAAA